GCCTCGCTCGCGGTGACCTGGGGCACTGGGTGGCGCGCGGTAGGGAGAGGGGTCAGCCTGGCGCCCGTGCGGGCCCCGCGGCTCCCTGGGACGCTGCCCAAAGCCACCGCTGGCCAGAAAGTTTACGCGGAGCGGGCGCGGGGCAGCTCGGAGGCGCGCAGGTGCAGCCCCCGGAGGTTTAGGGCTCGATTCTGCTCCCTCCTCCCTTCTCTCCTTCTCGGTCCCCTTTCTCTTTGTCCATTTGGCCCTGGAAAGGGGGACATTCTAGTGGAGGGTTCCCGAGCCCCCGACGGCCCCCGTCCCGCTCGCAGCCGCCAGCAGAGCCAGGGCCCGGCGGGTGAGGGGGCGCTCTGCCCTCAGGGACTTCAGGGCAGCAAAATCCGGAGTTAATCTGGATACAGGTACCACCACTCTCCCCTCGGGCTCCTCCGATGGGGGCCTGTGGAAGTTAATATACAGTTTGTGTATAGGTGGATTTTTCTGGGGATCAGAGTCTCATAGGTTTTATTACTGTCTCAGGGGCTTGGGGTCAGGGGGCTGGAGCTGTAATGAGCATCTGCCACGTTTGTTCTCTGAGCCTCTTACTGGTTGGAAGTGTCTCCCTGTCCCCCAGCCGGTGCACTTCCAGTCCATTCCTTAGTGTTAGCATGGGGAGAAGGGGTTGTTTAAAATACCATTTTCCCCCTCAGCGCAAATGCCCTTTTAAGATTCATTAGCTGTCTGGTTTTGAGAATTTTTATCCCTTTGAAGTCCCCCATCTAATCCTTTGAAGGGATTTGTTCCACAGACCAAAGGAGCTGGTTAATGACTTGTCCATTTGTGCTTTTAAGAGGTATTTGTTTTGTTTTGTTTTCTTTCCTTTCCCTGCTTTAAAAGAATTGTGCTTTCCTGATTGAAGTCTCCCCTTCCCCCCGATTTCAGCCTTCTGCGGTGTTTATATACCTGGGTTTTACCCTCGGTTACCGATGTAAAAGCTCAGCATGTTCTCATAAAACACAGGAAGTTCCATGATCCAGTGAGAATGTAAACATCACTATTCAGTCTTTAAGGTTCAGGCACCAGTTCTGTACGGAGCCAGGTTTGTTCTAACAAAAACCCAGCTTCCTTACATTTTCAGGAGAAAAATAACGTGTGTGTGTGTATGTGTGTGTGTGTGTGTGTGTGTATATATATATATATATGCAGACACTGGTTTTAAAGGGTGGTTTGCTAACTATTTTTTTTTGCAGACCTAGAATTATAATTTAGCTCTGAGTTTTCAGAGCCTGGACAAGACCAAAGAAATACAATAAGAGTGAATTGGATGAATTGGTGCCTAATGCCTTTTCGATCAGCTGAACTTAGTCACTAATCCTTTTATTAGAAGATAAATCTGGAGGTATCTGCTCCCTGAAGGAAGTTTGCTCTTTTCAAAGTTTGTGCTTTTTCACTGAGATTAGGAAATTGAAACATCCTAACCTCATAACGCAGCAGGCACCGACTGAAGGATGCTCACCTGCTCCATCCTGTGCCCACTAAAGATAGGCTCTGATGGAAGATGGACCAACTAGTTGGGGAGTTACTGCAGCACACTTATTTTAACCCCTTGCTGTCTCTTGAAAATTGTCAAGCAGTTATCCCAGATGAAGTGTCTTCAGGTATAATATTCACATAGGTTCTAGGGGATTATAAAATATTGATTTGAAGGTGAATCGCACTCCGTTATTGGCTTGGAACATCCACCAAAGATAATGTGATATTGTCATTAATTATAGAAAGATAGATAAAGCCAGTATCTTACCCTGTCCTTTCCTATCTCAGGCCATCACAGTAGCTGTTTTTTTTAATATCTGTACTTCGGACCACTCTCCTACCAGATGCTTCACTGGGTACTTATTCAAAGCCAAGTTGGGTCAGTGTGATCAGCATCTCCAAATTACAGATAAAAATTTGGTTAGGCATAGGCCAATGAAGCATTTAGACAGAAAGACGGCCAGAATTTGTGAACAGAGAGGTTTTCTCTACCATGCAGTTGGTGGCCTCAGCACCTCTCTGTGAGTAACAAGAGCAGTTCACTTTAATTCTAGGCAGTTTTGCACCAGCTAAGTGCAAATTCTCTTTCAGTTGGTTGGCAGCATCAGAGCATCCAGTGGTGTGGAGGTTGCCTCAGTGTGGATAGAGAAGAGATGCAATTCTGAGTTGATGCACATGAAAAGACTGGGGATATTATTTTTTCAGAAGGGAGAATGGAAGTCCTTAGGTCTAACCTGTGGAAACAAAAGCAAGTTAGGCTTCAGTGAACCCTTAAAACTATTTTAACATCTTGGGTTTTTAAAAGAAAACTGGCTTGGGTTTCACATTTCCTTGTTCTGAAAGGAGATAATCTCATGAAGGATCCTTAAATTCAACCTACAAAGGGTGGGCTTGGTTTTAGTTTTCCCACATAGTCACAGGGAGGTATGCACTTTACAGTCACCTGAAGCTGTCAGAGTATGTCACTAACACTGATTACCTGAGCCTCATTGTCCCTAAGTGTAATGGGTGCTAAGCTCTGGGGGCACAGGCCAATCAAGACACAAGGTCACCTGGTAAGTTAGTGCCAGCTAGAAATAGGAGGCACAGATCTATACCCTCAAGGTACCCAGGGAGGAAATTCCCTTTGGGAATTTCATAGTTGGAAGCAGGTTCTTTTTTTTTTTTTGTTCTTTTTTTAACAGATAATAGATATTTTTAAAATAGATTTGTGCTTCAGTAAGGCTCAAAGAACACTTGTTAATTGTTGCAAATCAACAGGTATTGTCCCATTTGGTGCTAGAATCATTTCTTCTACTCTTAATTTTCTTTTGGCAAATAAAGTTATTTATTTTAAAATGTAAAAACAAAAATATTCCGATTCATGTTAGGCAAAGTCAGAAGCTGTATGATGTTGTAATGAAAGAACACATACTGCAGGTTTGCTTTTAACAAGTGCCTCGATGGAGATGTCAGTCTAATTGCCTTCCATTCCCTTGAAAATAATTGTCGCCTCCCCCATTTTCTTTCCTAAATCAACTTTATCCAAATCAGTTTTGCTGTTGTAAAAAATTTCACGTGCAGGCAGGTCTCTTTGATGTCCTTTATAAGTTTAACAATGGCCTTTAACACCTGGGATTTTTCTCCAAGGATTCATTAGGTAAGGATAGGATAAGGGATGTCTGTCAAAATAATAAAATAATAATATAAAATAAAATAAAGAAACTTCCTATTATATCCTGATGAAATTTTTATCTTGGAAAGAGGAAGCCAAATAATTTTGGACACTTTCCTCTCTCTCCCGCGTTCTGCTTTTGTGCAGTTGGGAGGGGCTTGAGGTAGGATGGCAGGTGGTTTCCACAGGGAATTTGCAGGTCTTTAGCTCTCTAGATAGTCAGCTGTTCCGGCAGCAAGCAACTGTTTAGCCCAAATCCCCCCTCTGGGGCTCAGCGGGTGCTGGGTCCTGTATGGAAGGAGGGCAAGGAGAAGTGTGGAGCTAGAGGAGAGCAGGAGGGGAGAGAGGGAGGGAGAAGGGAGACCAGAGGTGTAGGAGGCGCTGGGCTGTCAGCGCTGTATCCCCCACAGTTGCCTCGGGTACCTCTTGGCGCCCTGCGTTTATTTCTTAAAGGATCTAGGATGTAAAGTCCAGCCCTCTCCAGTCCTAACCCAAGGCTGGCAGGGCCTCTTTACAGTCCAGCCTGGGGATGCACTGTCCTGTCCTTTCTCTTTATGTCACCTACAGACACCTGAGTGAGGTTCTCTGTTTGTCGGCCCAGAGCGATTCCCGAGCGAGGTGCTTGTCTCACCCAAATGAGGTTGTCCCTAATGCATGGCCTTCTTTCCAGGGAGCCCGTGGATGAGGTGCTGCAGATCCCCCCGTCCCTGCTGACATGCGGAGGCTGCCAGCAGAACATCGGGGACCGCTACTTCCTGAAGGCTATCGACCAGTACTGGCACGAGGACTGCCTGAGCTGTGACCTCTGTGGGTGCCGCCTGGGCGAGGTGGGGCGGCGCCTCTACTACAAGCTGGGCCGGAAGCTCTGCCGGAGGGACTATCTCAGGTACCCCCTCGCCACCCTCTTGGGGCCCTCAGCAGGGAGGCCGGCGCCCGGAGACACCCGAGTCTGGGGCCATCTCCAGGCTCCTGCTACCTGCCAGAATGAGGTCAGGCTGCAGAGGCCGGCTCAGAGGCCCCACGCAGAGAAGCAGTTGGCATTTCTTCCTGTTTGAGAAGCATGTTTTCCTACATTCCTACGGGGTAAAAGACTAATAGTTTAAAGGCAAGAGAATGATAAACACAAAATTCAGAATACTTTGTAAGTTTGAGGGCGGCCTCTTAGGAGCTCATTTAATGCTTCAAAGCATACCTATAGGTTATAAATATTCTTTTGTATGACTCCAATGTGATGTGAGGGGAAACTTAAAAATAGAAAGCATGCTCCGGCCATGGCGCTCCAAGAATTTGACTGTCACTGTGGGGAGGCCCTGAAGTCAGTTGTAGGTTGGAGCCCTGGCACCATTGCTTTCTAGCTCTGTGACCTGGGGCGAGCTACTTAACTTTTCTAAGCCTCGATTTCCGTATCTGTGAAATGGAGGTAATAGTAACACCAACTTCCAAGGAGGAGGTGAGGGTTAGATGGGGTAATACACACGTAAGGTGCCTGACTTGGTGCACGAATATCAAATAGATGTTAGCTGCTCTGTAATGGTCCCTGCTGACACGATCACTAAGGCTGCTTCTGTCCAAAGGACAGAGGGATGGGAGAATGGAAGGACAAATAGGAACCGCACAGTACTCAGGCACTGAGGACCTCTCCAAGTGCTCCAGGTCATGCATACTATTGGCCATGTGAATCTTCCAGCACTCAATGAGTGCCTTTGCCCGGAATGTTCTAGCATTTCCCATTTCATATTAGCTGCTGTGGAGGTAATTCTGTGCCCTCTACTGTCAGATCTGCTCAACTGTGTAGCTGTCAGTTTTTTGCCACCTTCCTGTGGCAGAGGTCCGTGGAGCATGCAGCCCTAATGCATGAGGGCCACCCAACCCTGTGAAGCTTGTTTAGACTCCAGTGCCCTTGGCTACCAGGCCAGCTCTTCCTCCCCAACCCAACTCCGAGCATTTTACATTAAAAAATAAATAAATTCAGGCAATTCCATAGTGAAGGAAGCTTATCTGCTTATTGACTGATAGAATAAGCTTTCGGCCCCCTAAATTCCCTGATAAAGTCCTTGCAAATTTGGTGGTTTGGAGAAAATAAGTGGGTTTTTAACTATCATGATTATCATTTTGGTCAATTTCTTGTAAGTTACAAAAGAAAATAGGACTGAGATAAATAGAGACCTGATTTTGCTCGCTACCCGTTTGCCAAGTCAATGCAGAAAGCAGACGGGCAAGTGATTCCCGTTGGGCCCCCTGACTACATCCCTGTCAAATCAATTGAATCTTATTAAGTGAAGTGCAGATAGAGTAAGGTCAGAGGAGCCTGGGCTTCTCCCTATCTCTGCGGTTTTATATAACATTCAAGGATAAACCCGGTGCTGCCTGAGCTTGTTAATCTTTTCCATTTTAAAAAAGGAGAGAAAGAAATAGTCTGGGAGAACCCAATGCTAATTAACTTGTGTCTTGGTGACATGAAATAATTCCTCTCCTGCTACATTCCTGGGCAACATGTTAATTAGCTCCGTTAGTACAGGCAGTTCCAGCCCTCCTTTAAAATTTATATTATTGTTAGTAAATGGGCAGGAGAAAGCTTAAGATGTGACACCTCTTGACAGAGGAGAAAAATCTTTTTTTTTTTTTGCTTCAGGGATGGTCCTTTAGTCATGGACTTGTTTGCATACATTTGTAAGGCATCTGTCAGTGTCTTAAGAAGGCCCCGTTGAGGACTGACTAAATGGGTCCTGTGATGGGGCTCAGTGCTTCTTCCACTGGAGTAACTTCTCCTGAGCATCTCCAATGGCTGAGTCGCCAGTTGCAGTCTTTTTCAGACATTTAGCCTCAAATATTCATGAGATGCCGTGTAGAGGCCAAACCCTAGTGTCGTGTGNGTTGCAGTCTTTTTCAGACATTTAGCCTCAAATATTCATGAGATGCCGTGCAGAGGCCAAACCCTAGTGTCGTATTTGGGAACCTAACAGTACCTGTTAATGTGAGTGCTAGCCCAGATCTCCACAGCCCCTTTTTACCAATTTTTGTGTGCAAGGCACCTACCACCCCCAGTGGTTTCAGTTTCCACAGCCAGCACCTGCATCTGTTAGAGCCAGAAGCATGGCCACTCTCCCCAGACCCTCCCAGCACCTTAACCAATGACCCGCTCGGCAGGAGCACCAAAGCTCAGCACCCTTGCCTGGAGCCAGGGCGACCTGGAGACATAACTTACACCCCAGAGTCCCCTTGCCGGCAGGCCAAAGCCCCCTGCCCAGGGACTCTGCCCGAGATGCAGCTTTGCTTGCCTTCCTTGGCTCCTGCCCAGCATTCCTTGCCACTAACCCATTTCCCAGGAACATATCCTCAGTGACTCCTCATGTCAGGCTCTGCTCCTGGGATATCCAGCCTAAGGCACCAATTCTCAGTGCCAGTGGTGAATTCACATTAGATGTCAAGTCCTAATTTATTTTTACTATGAGCAGAATCTCAGAATGAGCTGGAAGGGACCGCAGAGGCCTTCTTTCCCTGTACCCTTGCTGTCCACCTTAAGACATAGAAGCCAGGAGAGGAGTCATGCGCTCCGGGGCACCTGGGTTGTTAGAGGTCATGCTAACTAGACCTGAACTTGTCTCCCAAATATTACTCCTTCGTTCTTCTCTTCATTAGCTGCCTGATGTGTATTGTAATTTACCCCCGACTTCCCTTTAATAAACGCTCTCCTTCCTTAAGGGTCACACACCCCAGGCAGTTGGCTTCATTTCACGTACACTGTTTTGTGAGTCGTTTATCCTTGCTCAGGCCCAAACGCAACTTACTGAACAGTCAGGAAACCAGAACTGTCTTTCCACTCTGCGATCTCCAAGTTGGCGGTCTCCTACTGCTCCACCATCTGCTTCGTTGGGATAAAATGTTCTCCCCCACTAATGAGTTTGTTCCCAGGTGGTGCCTTGAAAACGCTCAGGGCTCTTCAAATAGAAAGCGGGATTCAGAGGGAAATGAGCTGGCCCTGACTCCAACAAGCAGCTCTCTACCCCTAGATCACGTCTTCTTGATCCCATTAATTTTGCCCAAATGTTTCAAAACTTGTCAACTGCCCTTATCTCCCCTACCACCTCTCAGAATTTACCAATGGATTCTCTGTTATGAAGTTAATAAGAACTTCCAGTAAGAACTAGCATTTACCTAAACTTGTCCTAAAGGTCTTATGGGAAAAGGACCTGCTAATGTGCCATGTTATCAGACACGTGTGAAAATGACTTCCTGTTGCAAGACTGGCGCAGTTGGGAGGACTCGAGATGTGTTAAGACACAGCCAGCGTTGGCTTAGCCCTTGGCTCTTGGTGCTTTGACGTACTCCCTCTGTTCCTTGTAACAGCAGAGTGATGCAGATGCTATGCTCACTGCTATTTCACAAGCTCACAGGAATCAGAGGTCTTCCCAGCGTCACTTAGGTACTCGGGCTAGTCCTGGACCGAACCTGGGTCTTCTCATTTCAGTACTTGTGATATGCCACTCTTGCAGGCTGATTCTCAAACTTCCAGAATCACCTGGAAGTGCTCCTTAACACACAGAATGCTGGGCTTCCCCCAAGAGTGTCTCAATCAGGGGAACCTGAGCATTTGCATTACTGACAAGTTCCCAGGTGACGCAAATGCTGGTGGTCCCAGGACCACACTTTGAGAACCACTGCACTAGGCTCCACTGCATGGATCTCCCTCACTGACACTGAATATTGCTTAAAATATTCAGTGACTGATCTACTGAAATATTCATTGACTGATATACTGAGACTTAGGAGAATCTTGATTTCAGCGTTAGAAGAGAAATTTCTCCAAAGATTCATGGCAGTGGGGCAGTGAGGACCTTGAATTAAGCAGTGTTACTTGTCCTCCAGATCTCTGAGGCATGATTAACTGCACCACGTGCTTCCTGTCCAACTCCCTCTGTCTCCTAGAAGCTGGAGGCTGAGTGTACAATCATGTGGAGGTGGCCTTGGTAGCTTATGGAGGAATTCAAGACCCACCCTCCCCATGAGTGGAATCAGTGGCTATTGACTTGATAGAATTTGGGAGCCTCTGAAAGATGCCCATTTCATTACATTCTTGGTTAAACTCCCTCTCAGAGGACCCCCAGGGGTTAACTCCAACTTCTCTTCTAAATGGAAGTCCCCCTGGAAGGGGACACACTGTACATGCCTAACCTCTTAACTTAGATCACTTCAACAGAGTCTTTTCCACAGAGGAGGGGCCAGGGGCAGCCTAGAGGCCCGGGGAGTGGTGCTGCAGGCAAGGAGAGAGCTCAGAAAAGGGACCACTTGTGCCAGATTACAGGTTCACCCCAGAGCACCCTCTTCCTTGCAGCAAAGACTAGACTAGTCGGCCATCTGTCTGAGCCCAACTCCTCCTTGCTTCCTGACGTCTTGGGAACTCAGCCTACTTCTCAAGCGCTTTCTTCCAGTGTGTCTGCCACTGTCGTCTTAGTTTTTCTTTCCTTCCCCTCCCCCACCCCCAGGCTTTTTGGCCAAGATGGTCTCTGCGCCTCCTGTGACAAGCGGATCCGTGCCTATGAGATGACGATGCGGGTGAAAGACAAAGTGTATCACCTGGAATGTTTCAAATGTGCCGCCTGTCAGAAGCATTTCTGTGTGGGCGACAGGTACCTCCTCATCAACTCCGATATAGTGTGCGAACAGGACATCTACGAGTGGACTAAGATCAATGGGATGATCTAGGTCTCTTTGGGGAGGTGTTTCACCGAAGTCGCTGTCTCCATGGGGTCTTCACTTTTAGGCACTTTGGGGATTTGAGGGTGGGATGAGGCATTTCTTAGGGGACCATAGACCCTAATTGGGCACAAGACACAGCATCCAAGTGACATAATACAAAGAATGATACCTAAATGACCAGCCTTTAGGGAGAACTTATGGACAGTGGCCACAGCCTACCCATAATAACTGACATGAGTAGTGAAGGAAAGGAGCATTTGGGGAGGGGACAGCATTTGTGCCATGATCATGATGGAACTTCATATCTACAGATGGGGAGTTGTGGAAAGACGTGTTAGGACTTTGACCCTTGAAAACTAGAGATGTGCAATTGATTTCTTTACTTCCTGGCTTTTATGACAACCCTGTTCCAATCACTGTCCCCCACACAAGGGAAGGACAGAGAGGAGAGTGGCCATCCTTTGTTTCTTGGCTACCTTCCCAAGGCCTTAAGCTTTGGACCCAAGGGACACTGCATGGAGACACATTTCAGTTGAGAATGGGAACTGCAACTTTTCACCAAACAATTATTTAAAGCAACACTGATGAGTCGCTGTTTTTAGATACGTTAGTTTTGAGGTGAGGAGTTCCACAGATTGTTTCTATACAAATGTAAATCTAAAAAAAAAAAAAAAAAAAA